TATTTGGTACGTGGATATGTTGGTTTGGAGATCAACTTGGCAGGGGCAGATCCAAAGATATTTTCTGACAGTCTTCCGAATTATGGCAGGGAGCTATGGCCCCTTTGTTGATCCAGCCTTCATTTTTGACGGTTTTCCAACAGAAAAAAATAGATACTCGTCAATGTAACTTGAAAATCTTCTGGCTGGAAGAGCCCGAAGATGGCCAAAATCCACCCCTGCTAAGTGAAGTGCCTTTTATCTCGCTTGATCATTTAAATTGAGTAAGTATTTGTTAGACATTTGACAGTGTCTACTTAAGCACTCGCACACAGAATAAAAATTTATTTTTTTATTATTATTTCAGAATTTTACAAACAGCATAGTATAGTTATGTCTAAGGCTGTCTTGTTACCAAGAGCTGGAGGGAAACTGATAGCCCAACACAGCAAAGATGTCAGCATCAATACGGAGGGGGTGAAGAAGCTGGCAGCCATGGTGAGGGGTTGGCTCTCGATCTTCTCTTATACCTGTGTCAAAGATATTCATATATATTTCTGTGGTTTATTCTGTGCACCATATTTTTGTACTGTCTAATTTTCTCACAGAATTGAGGTCAATATATACTCAGCGGGCCTCTGCATGAATTTAAGGTTATATGTACCCTAGGTTTGTGACGTCATGCAGTCATATCCTAGGCCCTATTCCCAAAGACATCTTCATTCTGTGAAGGTCATTCAAACTCTGGGGGGACTCTTGCTGAATGCAGTTTAGTAGATTATCACACCTCCTAGCTCTTGGCATTAAATAGAATACAGAAATGAGACAAGGCGTGTCATTCAGTTTAGCAGATTGCACTCAGCAAGAGTCCCTGCAGAAATGGATCAGACTACATATAGACTGAAGGTGTCTATGGGAATGGGCTCCTATAGTGTGTTGGAATCAGGATGGAAGAGATATACCCCACATATACACACTGGCTCAGCTGCAAAATTTAGTGGGAAATTTATAAGTTTTTCGTAAGTGAATCTCTAGAACATAACATATGTACCAAGGAATTTTTGTTATAGTTCTAATACTGTCAAATTTGATTATTTCAGCTGCTGGAAAAAGCAAAGAAGAGGGAATTCTTTATTGGCAGTTGGCGAGATCACACCCTGAATCCTAAGACATCAGATGAGAAAGCTATAAATTGGTACATTTTTGGTTTTGTTGGGCCACTGCTGAATTACAAATTTGAATCTTACATGAAACTATGTATTTAGTTATATAGGCCTTTTATTTTATTAAAATGAAACATTAAAACATGAGCAAAATCCTCATTTATAATTTTCCAAATTATGAAAGCTTTTATTTGCAAACTTGAATAATGATCAGAATTATACAGATTCTTTTACTATTCTCACTAGCTATATACCAGATTATTTACATGTACTGCTGTCCCTTAGACCAAGAGATAGATATTTTTACTTACGTAATCAGGATTGTGAACAGAAATACAAAATTTACAAAGCCAAAAAATATTTTTTCTTTTTCACAACATTGTCAAGTCAGCAGTCAAGATAGAACAGGAGGGATAAGCATATACCCATATTTACAGTTTCACTACCATGATCATTTCTTTGTTTTCTGCTTGTACTAGCTGCTAAAAAAATCAGCTATTCAGATGTTACCAACAAATGCGGGTTAATTATAATGCAGAGAAATCCAAATAGAAACTGTGACTTTATTTATACAATATTGCATCTACTGTGTTCATCTCTAATTCATAATCATTTATTTATTTATTTATTTATTTATTTATTTTACTTTTAGGATTTTCCTATGTGATACTCTCAACTTTTCTTTCTGGTCCAAGGATGAGAACAATAAATTCATGGTTCGGTATAAAGGCAAAGAGTACACAGGATATTGGTCCCTGTGTGCTGCAATCAACAGAGCAATAGACGTGAGTAACCAGTGATTAAGTAAGGAAAATCTGGATCCCCTGTCTCTTCATGAAATGACGTAAACCTGAAAGTAGTTCCAGCATAAATAAGACGACTGAGAATTATTATTTTGCATATCTCAGAGATGTTGTATACCTATTCTTTTCTTTTTAATTTTGCCCGAAGGAGCAAATTATGATTCTTAGTGTTCAAAATAATTTGAAAAAATTGACTGCATTTCACAGCTATCTGTTTAAGTGCTCATTATGCAACTGTATTACATTTATGATAGTGCAATTAATGAATTGAGTGAATACAACTGAATCAGATAGAAATACTCATGGGGCTCTTTAATTTTTAGGAAGGCACACCAATTACCGATCCCAATTACTACAGCAAAATGACCATGGACCAGTTAAAGCATGTAATGCGTTCAGACTCTGCACAACAAATGCCTCTATTGGAGGAAAGGCTTTGTGTGGTGCATGAGGCAGGGAAGGTTTTGGTTGAAGTATGTATTGATAATGAAACACTTATAATGATATAAATTGTAGGTGGATCCAGAGGAGTGGTTGGTGTCCCTGTGATCCATTTCTTTTTTAATATACAAAATTGTTTAATCACCTCTTCCCTTCAAACTTCCAAAATTTCATAAATTAACAAACTGAAGTTCAACAACAACTATATCCTTCACATAGTTTTACTTTTAAATTAGTAATTATCAACAAGGAGGGGTTGGAAGGTGAGTGCCCCCTCCCTTTCTATACTTTTCACATTGGGAATAGAAATGTTTTGATTTAAATCATAAAAACTGATATGGGAAACATTGACGTAAATAAGATGAGTTTTTTATTCTTGCTGATGAACAAAAATGATTATTCCTTTTCCTCAATTTAGCTGTTGAAAGTTAATTCATGCTGCAACATTTAATCGTTTTGGCTTAGAAAAGAAATGGAAAAAAAGATAACCAAGTTTGGTATTTTTATGTACAGACACAGATGTGTCTGTACATATAGCCATCATCTGCGTCTGTCGTCGCCGTCGTCGTCGCCGTCGTCGCTGTCGTCGCCGTCGCCGTCGCCGTGCACTTTTACTGATAACACGATAAGTGGAAAACCATTTTGCCTTTTGATTTGAAACTTGCAGAACTGATGAATATTCATAATACGCAGGTCAAGTTCGAAAATCAGCATGATCGGGTCACTCTTAGGGAATTTATGCAGTTTTTTCACTTTTTTCAGCATATATGCAGCACCGATAACACGATAAGTGGAAAACCATTTTACCTTTTGACTTGAAACTTACAGAACTGATGAATATTCATAATACGCAGGTCAAGTTCGAAAATCNGAACTGAACTTTGCAACTTTTTAATACTTTTATTTTAACTTTGCAAATTTTGGTTCCCTTTTATTTCCAAAACTGACAAGATACGCCCATAGTTACTATTGAATTTGAATAGGAAGTCATATACTGGCAATCTAAGTGTGACCTTGAAAATTACATTTGACCTACTTTTTATCATGAATTGAAGTTTACAAATTTTGGCTCCCTTTTATCTCCAAAACTGGCAGAGATAGTTCCATAGTTGCTATTGAACTTGAATAGGAAGTCATATACTGGAAATTTACTGTGACCTTGAAATTGACCTTTGACCTACCTTACTATGAACTGAACTTTGATTGTACCATTTTTAGTTATATATATTTTTTTTGTATATTTTGAGAATTCTTGTTGATTGCAGTTTTTACAGCTTGTCAAGCACAAGACTGGTGATGGTGTCCCTTTTTTGTGTGTGTGGGGGTCTATACGATCGCGCTTACTCCAGCTGGTGGTACAATATTTGGAGGTATTATCGCCTCTCTGATCCTCTAGTTTCATAATAACTTTGGTTTTAAACATTAAAACATCTAATATTTTGTTGTGTTTAACTCTGATAAGAAGAGCAATTATTTGCAAAATGGCAACTCTCCTGTTTTGAAATTTAAATTTTTTAAATATTTTAACAGAACAATTTGAATACCACTGCGTATTATTATTTTTTTTTAATAGTTGTTGTGGATAAGTTGCCTGATCCGGTTTTATTATAATAAATAGAAAAGATACCAAGTCCCCAAATGTGTAGCAAATTTTTTATGAATAAGTATTGAAAAAAATGTGCAACTTATGAAATGCTACTGAAAAATGGTAAATACATAAAAAAATACTCATTTAACACATAACATTACTTTCTTCAGAAGATAATGATGATGATTATGAGGAAGACAGCTATACTTACATAAAACCAGGTAAGATTTTCACACTTATTGAGATATTTTAAAACAGATTTTCTTGTCTTTGAAGCAATATGTCAAAGGTGGGTGCCTTTTAAAATACCCTTTTTTATGTACAGACACAGATATGTCTGTACATATAGCCATCACCTGCATCTGTCGTCGTCGCCGTCGTGCACTTTTACCGATAACACGATAAGTGGAAAACCGTTTTTGCTTTTGGCTTGAAACTTACAGAACTGATGAATATTCATAATATGCAGGTCAAGTTCGAAAATCAGCATGATCAGGTCATTTTTAGGGAAGTTACGCTGTTTTTTCACTTTTTTCAGCATATATGCAACACAGATAACACGATAAGTGAAATACTGTTTTACCTTTTGGCTTGAAACATACAGAACTGATGAACAGGTCAAGTTCGAAAATCAGCATGATAGGGCCATTTTTAGGGAAGTTATGCTGTTTTTTCACTTTTTTCAGCATATATGCAGCACCAATAACATGATAGGTGGAAAACCATTTTACCTTTTGGCATGAAACTTACAGAACTGATGAATATTCATAATACGCAGGTCAAGTTTGAAAATCAGCATGATCGGGCAATTTTTATGGAAGTTATCCTGTTTTGTTTTGTTTTTTCAATTTTTTTCAGCATTTTTATAACACCGATAACATGATAAGTGTAAAAATGTTTTTCCTTTTGGATTGAAACTTACAGAACTGATGAATATTCATAATACGCAGGTCAAGTTCGAAAATTGGCTTGATTGGACTATTTTTACAAAACTTATGCTGTTTTTTTTCCATTATTCAGCATATATGCAAAACTGATAATATATTTTAAGGAAAACCAATCAGCCTTTTGTCTTGAAACTCACAGGACTGATCAGTCTGACTAGTATACAGATCAAGTTTGAAAATAAGCTTGATCAGTTAAGTTTTGATGAAGTTATTAGCCTTTATGTATATAAGTGGTTTTCTTCAGATTTAATTCTTAGGCATGTTAACAGTCTCATTATGGAACTAATAAGATATGTAAAAGTGTTGTTTTAACATTTTCTGCTGCTTAACAATATTGTTAGTTGATTATATAAAAATGATGGTAAACCTATTATCATGCATTGTGTAATAAAGTATCAAAAATGGAAAGGAACTCATCATTGCAGTTCATCAGATTCAATCATTCACTATGTTCAGAATCTCCGAATGGAGCAAATTGGACATTTAAAATTGTTCTACTGATATTTTTCCTATGTCAACAATTTTCCTAGTTGATCATTTAAAAATGACAGTAAATTGATTATTTTGTTTTATGTAAAAAAAGGTGTTGAAAATGGAAAGAAAATCATTTCAGTACAGTAATCTCTTGTTTACATTTTGAAAGTGTGACTCTGAACTTCCATGGCCTTGGAGACCTTTCCATATCACATTTTCTGAATATCCATGATACTTTTATTTTTTTATAAAAAAATTGATGGTCATTGTGCTGTTAAGTATTTTGTTATATTGCATCAAAGTTGAAGAAAAACCCTATTTTGGACACTGCTGCCAGGATAGCGATTAAGGGAAAACCATGTTACTTATGATACTCAAACTTACTGAAAAGTTTCATAAGACTGAAGTGCAGCTTGTGTTGGAACACCAGTGTGATTGTTTTCTGTTTTGGAAGCAATGCAGTTCTATAGAGTGCTATATGGTGCAATAAATGTATATGGATAGCAGGCAGTATGTTAATTCAGGGTTATAAAGTAATTTGCTTAATTAATTTTCAAGTGGCCATTAAATGAGATTACATAAAACACACGTTGAGATTTCATTGTAAAGTCCCATAGGTTTAGCTCTCTTAACTGTGTCACATAATTAGGAATCGATGATTATTATGCAGGTAAATGTTATTTAATATTGAAAATAATTTTAGAAAAGAATAATTTTGTGTAACGCTTACATTAATGCTAAAGATGAATAACATTTCATTACTATTCTCAAACTCAGTAGGGTTATTCATATCATGTTAGTAATTATACAGGTAGATTAAAAGTTTGAATAGCAGCTTTATTGGAATTTTTTGTTATGTGTTATTTTACATTTTCTTTTAATTATTTTTCAAACACTAGCATCTTCAAGATGTCACTTTCAACTCCCATCCACCAGAAGTGCTGTGCATTTTCTGTTTTTCCACATTAGCAGTTGTGTTGGTTTTTATGTCTTTAAACATTGTGTAATATTATTTTATGCACTGTCATCATTTTTCACATATTGGGATTTTCATTATGTGAATTTGAACTCTCACATATGGTCCTGAAACTGTAATCTTATTGACCATGTTATTCTGTCGCACATTTTTTTGAAATTTTTATCTTTCACTTACTGGCATTTTCAGTGTGGGACTTATAACTCCCAAGGGCATGTAACAGTTCACTTTTATTGATACTTCCTGTTGTGCAATATTTGCAACTTGACTTTGCAGTTAAAGGGATAATAACGGTTCTTTTTGGCAAATAATTAATTTCTTTTTTCTAAAAAGTTTTTTTTTTTGTTATAATGTCTTAAGTATAGCCATCTATGGAGGTCACATGGTCTGATGACAAGTTCAGATATCAGAATAATAGCTATGACTGCCCTTTTTATGGTAAAACAAAATATATTATATTTCTGTGAGTTGTTTACACTGTTTAAACTCAAGTTGGATGATTCATATCATGGTAATGCAGCTAGACCGAATGGCAGCTTTAGTGGAATATTTTTGTAATTTTTTCTTTTTTAATTTTTAATTTTTCAAACTGGTATTTTCAAGATGTGACTTATCACTTCCATCCACCAGGAGCCCTGTACTGTTACTTTATAACATTTTCTGTATTTTTTTAACTGACAAGAATGATTCTTAGGATTGACATTAATTAGACAAACGGCTCTATTAAATTATATATATATATATATATATATATATATATATATATATATATATATATATATATTTTTTTTTTTTTTTTTTTTTTTTTTTTTTTTAGTTTAAGCAATTTTTTTTGTGAAATTTTCACTTTATCTCATTCTGGCATTTCCAAAATATGAACTTTAAAGGACAATGTTCATGTAAAAATCCATTTCTCGAATTTTGAAGATACAGCACTCAATCTATACACTAGAGGTATGTTTTAATCGATCCCCGCCATTTAAAAATTATAAAAACAATCTATTAGTAGAAAAAAA